CAAATAAATAACATACATGTAAACTTGTACGGATTGTCTGTAAGTTATAAGGATTTTACGTCTTTTTGCAGGTATACGGACATATAGGGCAATCTCACGGATTTTTTCAAGTCTTATGGATTTTTTCAAAATGTCATTTTCAAATGTATCTGTATCTGTAGAATGATTTTAAAAACAACAAATAACAGTAAATAGCCATCTTCTAAACTGTTCTGCCGCTAGAAAAAAGTTTTGAACTTTTTCCGCTCTCCTTTCCTCCTGCTTCCCTGCGGGTGCGAGTTGTGTGCATTTTTTTTTTGCAAAATTTACAGATTTTTGCGGCTTTTTATACAGGTAAACATCCGAAGAGGTTGACATGCATGGGACAACAAAATACAGACTTGTTGTTATTGAGTTTGTCAACACAAACTGCTACCTGAGAGGCACTACTAGCCCCTCCCCCGTCAGAGTGTCGGAGCAGGACAAGTCAGTGCAACGTAAATCAAATGAGAGAGAGGGTGGGGGCGAATGCTGCATTGGGGTGGAGAACATGCTTTATGGGTAGAGTAGTTTATTTTTCCTGTAATACTTCATTATAGTTTTTTAAGACAAAGCTAACTGAAAGGGGCGCRGAGCAGAGTTACAACCAGGGATRACAAATAATTACTTTTTTCTTCTGCAGTTCGGCGCCCCCTCCAACAGATGGCGCTCTAGGCYACCGCCTAGTTCGCCTATGCCAAGAGCCGGCTCTGGTCAGGRTTCYMCTSTGCTTAACTCTTTCATCATCAGTTATCTGGGCCTCACAGGAAGTGTCTGTGGATTTGTCCAGCTGAATAAAAACTGAAAGGTGGATGCCTTCAACCTCCTCATTTGTTTCAGACCAGGCAGCCACCTCCAGATGAACTTTGTTTCAGAATAATAACATAATAAAATATAATAAATACTAAACATAACAGCTTCTGGTCCAACTGAGTCAGCTTCTTACCTTTTGTGATCTGAACCATTAAATAAAAAGCTCCATAATTATTGCTTTTTATGAAGCTGTATGTTCCTGTTTTCTATCAGAAAAATAAATCTTTAGTTTTATCCTTAACTGCAGGTGTTTCATGGTTAGGTGCTYCTATTTCTTGGCTGGCTTTGTTTGCTGCTAAAGACATGACACGTTGGTCTTTTATCATTGTAGGACACCTAAGTAAACTAAACTCAATATAACATTATATCTTTAACTGTGCACCAGGTGAGTCCAGAGTAAAGGGTCTTGATGTGTGACAGATTAACCTCTTCTGAAACATAGGTTTTTGTGCACTTCTTTGAAGTATTTRACAAAACTAATAATTTAAAGCAAATTATTTTGCAGACGAGCAGATGACCGACTCAGGAATTCTTTCTTTTATGGTTTTCCTGCAGAGACAGAATACATTCCTCCAGTGTCTGTCCTCCTGTCTCATTAAGAGTGCTGAGGAGTGACAGACAGGTGCGGCTGAAAATTTGTTTTTGTATTGAGATTTAATTGGAACCGAATTGAAGAGGTGAAACTCAGAAGTTCAGACGTCAAAAATTAAAGAAATGTTCTGAACTTACAATAAAAATTATATTGAATACTTCCTCTGGATGGCATTAATCTGGCCTCCAGTTCTAATGTAAATAATCTTGGTGTTATTTTTGATCAGGACATGTCTTTTAACCCCCACATTAAAAATGTTACCAGGACCGCCTTCTACCACCTGCGTAATATCACTAAAATTAGAAACATCTTATCCAAAAATGCATTTTTCATGTCTAGGCTGGATTACTGTAATTCTTTATTATCTGGGTCCAAAAACCTCTTTAAGAAGTCTTCAGTTAATCCAAAATGCTGCTGCTAGAGTTTTAATGAGAGTTGG